AAAATACCTCACCTAAGCCAAACATGACCCAGAAAAAGTGTATGTGTAATAGCACTTTAATTATACACCTAAAAGTGATTTGATGAGCCACGATTTAAAAAAAAAACAAAGCAATGTAGCTTCTTTAAGATTACAAAACTGATATGAGGAACTTTTTGTGAATCATATGCCAAAACCATATACAAATGCGTGTGCCATTTAGCCCATTTTTAAAGACAAGATTCTAACTTGCCATAGTGGGAAAAGCACAGGTGGTTATGAATAACATTAAAGATTTATTAGTTCTATTCAAACATCATAGTATGTCATGATAGTGTGACAGTGAGCCAGCATGCTGAACACCAAGATTCCTAAAGTGAAGCAGCTAAATGGAATGTACCATCATTAAATTCATTATTTACACCTATGCTTATTCTACTGTGACATATCAAAACATCTGCTGGGAAACGGGCCTTTGGTACATTAAAAGTTCTCATAAACATTTAAAGAAAAGAGGGCTTCTTTCTCTTACTGTATATTAAGATGAAACTTTTCTGAAGTGAATGAGAATGATTCATTTTCTTTTTCAGTGCTGATGAGAGAATAACCATTGCTTTGAATGACTGCCCACACAATTAACAACTCAACTCATTTACTGTGGTGAAGGTTCCAGAAAGCCTGAGGTCTGCTATGGATTTTAATGTAGGTCTTTAATCACTGCATGGCTCTGACAGTAGCCAAAAACTAGACTACTACAAATACAACAGTGCAGTCAGGGACATAGTTGTTAATGATTAAATGTTCACTCTAGCTAGATTTTTCTGCTCTAATGAGGGTCCTTCCCTGTTGCGATGGTGACCGCCCAATCTGGCAGCTCAAACCTGCCCAACCTGGCAGTTTGTTCAGCCTGCATCTCATTGTGTGTGGGGGTCATCCAGGTACATGAGGATTGGCCAGGCCCTACAGCTAGCAGACCAGGGCACAACGCCATTCAGGTCTGACATTATGGAGATATCTCATGGTTTTCAGCACATGCACACACACACATGCACAAAAAACACTGAACCCTCCTGAAAATAGAGCTGAAGAAATGAGCCCATTTGTTGACTGACCAACAACAATTTTGATGGTTGATTAATTATTTAAGTTATTTGTGATACAAAAACACCTTGAACATCCTTCCGCTTTCAGTGGGCTAGTGGGGGGAGAAACCATAACCTGGTTTCTCACAGTAACCTGGTTACTTAAGTGCAAAACACACAGTCAGTGATTCTACAAGTCTCTGAATTCTACTGGAGGGATGAACACCAATCAGCCAAAAGATGTTCTCTCATTTGGTATTTGAGGATGCTGGTGGAGAAGCTAACACACTGGTCCAAACTGCCCACATAGCATATACTTCACATCATTTTCATATTCATCAAACCATTCAGTGACTAATCGTATCCTACAGATGGGGGCCATGTCATCCTGGAGGAGATCCCTCCTGTGAGGATAGAAATGTTACATCATAGAATAAAGGATCACTCAGAGAAACTTTGTATTGATTTGCAATGGCACTTCACTCTAAGAGGACAAGTGGACCCAAACCATACCAACATCTGCAATCGTTATGTTTCTCCACTAATTTATTCAGGTTTTTCCTTGGTTATATGTGCAAGAACACTTTTCTACATGGAACTGAAAGATTACTGTTTTCAGAAAAAAAAAAGCATCATAAATGTCTAAACCAAATGTCAACACTGAATGATTAACAGATATACAGTAGAGGTTACTGATATTTAGGATAGTATTACTCACACTTTGAAAAGTCCTGTTAAGCTTCCTGTAAAGTGTTAACTTGGCATAAGGCAGGAGAAAGCAGCCAGTCAATCTTGGTGCACACAATGGAAACAAAACACACAATGGGTGTTATTCCTCTTACCCTCCCTCCTCCTTATCTCCACTCCCTCCCGAAAAACCACCGAGGAAGGGGTGTTCAAAGCCATCGCTCTGGTCCATATTCAAATGTGCGCTGCATCGCCTGCCTGCGCTCCCGTTGCGATCAGCACTTTGATCACCTCCAGTGGTAACTTCCACCAAAACATTTAAAATTAAAATCAATTCTGCCTTAACAACCTGAGCATTAGAATTAAACAGGTGTTTGGGAGAAAGTTGTTACAGAATTTGCAATTATGTTCTCACATACACACACCTTTAGTCAAACACACACCCACACACATGAACAGCCTGTCAGTGAAATTACAGAGTGGGAAAGAGAATGCCCTCTTGACTGAGTGCTATACCATGGGATACCTGATCTGTTCATTTCAATGTCAGTAGGTAAGAAAGTTAAAGAAAGAAAACAGCCAGACAGCAGCTACATGTGTTCAGTAAACAAAAGCTAATATTATATTCTTAGCATACGTCATATACATATTATTGTTGAAATTATATGTCAAGCTTGAAAATTAATGATGCCTTACTGTTTCGGACCTGGGTGTGGTAGAGAGAATGTGGAGTGCATGTTTGGTGTATGTACAGTATATACACACTTAATACATGCATGTATGCACACATGCAAGACCACAGTACAGACATGCAGCACTAACTGCATCTTCTCTAAATGCAGTAATTAATGCGGGAACGCTGCACTACTGTAGTTAATTACTGACTAAATGATCCATTTATATTTCACCGCTGGTTAAATTAACAGGGTTAAGTGAGACAGGGAGAGTGTAACTCACTTAACATTTGAGCTGATATCTCTTAGCTTCCACAGTGTGGGGGCTGCCCTGTCAGAAAACATCAACCAATCAAAAACAATTACACTCTGTGGAGAGACAGAAATACTCAACTGCTGCAAAACAATTATATTCCACAGCATCAGCTATAGAGTTATTTCATCTGCAATAGGACATAGTGTAACATAAACTGAAGTAAAAGTCATACTGCAGAAGAGACAGAGACTTATTATAACAGTAAGTGTCCTACAATGCTGATGGAACGAGGCTATGGATACACCCCAAGTCTCTTATATGATCTCCTCCCTCAACCCTGAAGTTGTTCCGGTCGAGCGAAAATTGACGACGTCCAAAGACTTATATCTGCTGTGAGAAGGATTTAGAAATGAGGAGACTGCCTGGAGGAGCCATGAGCGAGGAAACGAGACCACCCTTCGTGAAGTATTTTATGGACCAGCATGCCCCCTTTACTGGCAATCATTTGGTGGCTGGACGCTTCAGATGTAGGATCAGAGGAAAGGATGCCTCTTGACTCTAAAAATGCGTTTCCTCGATTTCTGTCTCCGCACATCTTACATGAGCAGCTCGATTTCTGTCTCCGCACATCTTACACGGGCAGGACTAAGACAAGGAAGAGATGTAAGTGAGGGAAATGTGGAGACTTGAGATGTACCCGGAGTCAACAGTACAGATTTTGATATAAGTTACTATTCTCAACCACATCTTTGATTCTCTGCGGTCATCATGTTATTAGAAGTTATTAAAAGGACACTACTACACCTTCCATTGCCTTTGGGTGACAGCTCAAAGGCAGTGAGCTAAAGCCAAAACCCTACTAACTGACAGATGAAGAACAGTAACTCTAACATGATCTACAAGAATATTACAGAGCTTCATTTAAATCACCTCTCTCTGTATCTTATCTGCTATCTGACCAGTGTGTGATAAAAGCACTTCCAGGTACTTGGGTGGGAGGAGAGAAAGAGGACAGATAAAGTAAATAAGTCAGAGAGTGCATACGTGCCAAGCACTGAGAACGAGAGAAGATCAGATAGTTGACATGAACAACACTACTGCTGAGAGAGAGAGAGAGAGAGAGAGAGAGAGAGAGAGAGAGAGCGAGAGAGAGAGAGAGATCAAGGGTGAACTATAGTGATACCAAGCGAGTGATTCTCAGTTAAAGATAGCCACCACAGGCCATGCTGGAGGTGGTCAGTTATTACTGCTCTAACTAATCCACCTACACATTGCTATTTCTGCACTGTATGACAATTAGTTTCCAACTCCAGACAAGTGACCGAGACGTATGTAGTGTAATGTGCTCACTGTATAAGAAAAACCATAAATAAATGCAGAGCATACGAAGCATGTACAGTATACTGTATTGTGCAGAGCCACACCAATGTATATCAAAGTTTTAAAAAAACTTGATAGAAACAGAAAAATACTTCTTAGCCTGAAGCTGCGATGTACCGATAAAAAGCAGAGACGCACCGATTGCAATTTTCTCAGCCGACTGCAATTTTTAAGTCTGAACTGCCAATTCCGATTTTGGCCGATTTCAGTTTTCTTTCTTTCTAAGAACTGCAGTTGACAACATATACAGATACTTTTGTAGCTTTTCCTTAATGAAGAATTAAACTGTAATAAAAATAAAACACTGAATAAAGTTTTACATTTTCTGTCTTTTTTTTTTTTTTTTTTTTTTACAGACCAACTAAAAATGAAGTGCAGTATTTGTACTTCTCCAAATATAAACAAGTGCAACAGGTAATAGAAACAAGGAAATGTCTGTTACATCAGTCCTACCGAGTGTGCAGTTCTTTAGGATGTGGCTGAAGTTTGTATTTGCTGTGTTTTACCACTGGTTGGACACATGTAGCGAGTAACTCCCTCAATGTGTACTACTTCGTCAGAAATTTGAACGTAGTTTCCCTTCTCCAAGGTGTTTCCGTAGGCTTCTCTGTGCACTATTTGCACACCATGTGCTTCCAATGAGCGAGTGAACACACGCCTGGTACAGACACAAGCGCAAGCCTTGCTCGAGGTACATGCGAGATCCTACACGCTGCACACTAAGCGCTTGGTCTGTGCCAAAGCATGTGCAACGTGGACTGTCGTGCCTCTAAATCTGACTGGCACAGAACTGAAGATCTCAGAGTGATCAGCCGGTCACCAGTCAAGGCCGATCACACTGAAAACCAACCATTTATGATCTCTGCCGATCAATTGGTGCAACTCTGCTAAAAAGAGAGTGCCTTAGTTGAGGGGAAGGTGAAGAATGAGAAGGGTCCTTGCCTTGAAGTTGGTTTGTCTGTTTGGTGAGGGGTCAAGGGTTGTCTGTGGAGCCTGTAGCTGCTGTTGCCATTGCTGCAGATGTATTTGCTCCAGCTGCTGCTGTTGTAGCTGGGACTGGAGTTGGAGGATGTATTGATCTTTCTGAGCCAGCTGGCTGCTGAGTTGCTGGTGACTCTGACGGAGACTGGCCTCGCTAGACACAAGGGCCTGGTAGCACTGACTCAACTCTTTGTACAGCTGTCAGAAAGCACAAACAAGACACATGGGTTGGAAAACCAGAGAGAGGGCAGGAAGGGAGTTGAGGAGGCAAAGAAATAGGTTAAGTCAGCCAGAGACGGGATGTCAAATGAAGGAAAATCACTTGTGAGACTACATGACATGGAGACTGACAAATGTTTTCAAGTGAGGCTGTTTTCTTTTTTTCCATAGTAATAGGAAAGGCATATGCTAAAATCATCTAAGTAATAATGAAAAGGAAAAACAGAAGGACAAGCAACAAAGATAATATGAAGTGAGACCAAAAATGTTCATGTTTTATGACTAATACCCCAAGACTCTCTCCGAAAGTCCATTCACAGTAACATGATACAGCAAGAAAAAACTATTTTGTGGCACTAGTAAAATAACAGTAGGTTACAGTTAGCTTGGAAACAAATGACCACAATGGGTGAGACCTAAATGGAGTGCAACAGAGTAGTTATAATAATGATGAGTTTGAGGTTTGGCATATGTGAGTACCTTTTGATAGGAGGTGGTGTCAGCAGTGTGTGCCTCCTCTTGGTTCCTCAGGACTCTCTGTGTGTCTAGGTTCAGTCCTTCCAATTGCTTGATCAGATGGCTCTGCTCTGTTGCATGCTCTGTGCTCTGTCTATACAGGGACTGCACTTCTGCAAACTCACCACTACACATACATACATACATACATGCAACATAACTGAGTAAGTAAGGATTTAAAAATAGTCCCAATTCATACTGTACCTGCACTGTGACTGTTGATGTAAGAATGTTGCATATCAATATGTGATAGACCTGCCCTGCCATTCCTTTCTATATTAATACAGTGAAATGCCTTTTTCTAAATCTAAATTATGGTTAGAAATATAAAGATTCAAAATCAAGATGGTGTGAGGAAGGCAAATAACTTGAATTATCTAATTCATTGATTTTTTTTTTCGTTGTGTAAAATCTGATGCATATCAAATTTAAAATATACAAATAATTACATACAAAGAATACTACACATACCACATCAGTGTAATGAATTAAGAACAATTATATACAGTACATGTGACTCGGTTTTCCCTCAATAGCATGCATTAGCATCAAAGTTCATTTGTGAAATTTATTTTGTGTCCCATGGCATTACCACAAAGTGCTCCTCTAACTCCTCCATCTTTAATCACCCAGCTAAAACCTTAAGATCTGTCTCTAGCCCTGGTGTGACTGACATGTCAGAGTGCTTCTGGCATTAAAACAGAAAAGTAGTTAAAAAAGGTTGAGATTACCACTAAGGCTCCTACGGTTCTCACAGTTTTTATCATATCGACTAAAGCTCAGCCAAAGCCTGCCCAGTTTCCCTTTTCTCCCTCTTTTAAAGCACATAGACTATGCAGGGCTTATCAAGTGGCTTTAGGCGAGCCAGAGTGGAAGAAATGTGTCACCCCCAAGCCTCACAGCACAGAGCGCAATATGCTCACTGCTGAACTCAGTAACCTATGTGAAGTGAGGTATACTTATAGAGACACACAGGAACAATCTATACCATCTTTAACTAATGAGATTACTGTAGAATAAATCACTTGGGTCATTACAAGCAGGCAGGGGCTGAGGTTTAATGGACAAAGCACCAGTTGATGGGGCTCACCGAAGTTGCCCAAGTTGCCCCTCTTTTTCTTCGACCTCCCTCTCTTTGGAAGAAAGCTGAACTGCCAGACTCCTACTGTGTCTCTGCAAGCCAGAAAGCTCTTGGCAGGCATTGTGTAGCTCCACTTCCAATTCCTGTTGAAATAAAGCAAAGCACTTTCAGAAAAAAAGGAACAATCTGATAATTGAGAGGCTTTTGCAATATATACTAAAAAACAGTTAAGACACTGACGATAACATGAGATGATCAAAACATATACAGGAATCACACCATGAGGGTGAAACTATCATGGGAACATTGCTATTGGTGTAACAGCATTATGGGGGAACTGAACTGCCTTGGTGGAGGTTTGCTCTCTCTCAGTGCTGTCTAGTTTTTGATTAAACTGTTTGTGTTGTTGAGTGAATCTGGTGGCCATTTATTTAAGCTGTATGTTGTACTGTCAAGCAGATACTGGTAAGTGTTTAAATGTATGGACGTAAAAAGATCCCTAAATTTGTATTAGCTGTAGGTCTACTGTATATTGTCAGATGGTTATATTCGTCCACCCACTGTTTAGAAAATGTATCAACGATTCGATAAGTTTACTTTATCTATGCATGCACGGGATTACATGATACATTTCTGGATAAATATTTGTGATGTCAAACAAATTGGCATTCTGTATCCACCACACACCCTATATTCTCCATCTCCATCTTTCAAATCAGTGTATAATACAAAAAATGAGGAACAGGTGGAGTGTCTTAGGATGTGATGGATGTGATAAACTAGTTGCTGGGCTTCATCTCATCCAAATGTAATTACTCTGCAGCCCTGACTTATTCAAGACTTTCCGTCTTACTCCATTTGACTAGGATAACCATATGTTTCATAACAAGTAGTCTATAAGGATGGGTCATAATGTGAGGGTCTTCTGCAGCTCCTACGTCCTGACTCTAGTGTTGGCGAGCAAGTGATTTCTGTAAGGAAATGAAATGTGAATGAAAATTCTTCAAGGACCTTGACTGTATTGACCTACACTAGTGACTAAGCAAAGTGAGATGTTCTGAATTTGCATTTGTATAACAGAAAATGCACAACCACTATGAACGCTTATAGCTACACATGCAATTTGTGGTTTTCAGTCTTCAGTTGTGGGCATCAGGTCAGTACAGGGAAAATCTGTGACCATGTTAAATTGTAATTTTCCTTCCTTTGGATATAGTTTTAAATATTTAAAACTGTGTGATTTGCTACAGACATGTTTATATGGTAACATGCTGAGGAGGATCAGGTATAAAGGATCAAAGAGTTCAACCTAGAGGATAAGGCCCTTCCTGTATAACTTTTGAGTGGGTGTGTGTGTCTGAAAGGACTTGTCCCTGTGTTCTCACCTTGACTCTGGCCTGGGCAGCATCCCTCTGGTCTCGGTGGCTGTTGGCCTGCCTCTCCTTCTCCTCCAGGTCAGCTCGCAGAGCAGCACAGCAGGATGTTAATCCCTGTTTCTCTTCCTCTAGAGCCTGCAGCTCCTTCTCATTCCTCCTACACTCTGTCTTCATTTCCTGGATAAGAGAGGTGTGTGAATAAGAAAGAGATTGTGAGGTCATGAGTGCCAAATAAACAAGTGACGAAAGGAAAGGAATAGAAAAAGTAGCACTTCAAACTGAGCAAATGAAAAATGGAGTGATACAAAAAGAGAAGCAACCCATTGGGCTGAGGCTGAAATGAATATGTAAACAATGGACTGTCTTTGCTGCGGGAGCCCCCTGCATGGTCCGCTCATTGGCCAAGGTCACCTGTGCTGTAGGACTGGGCCACGCAGCCAGATGTCAGCTGGCGTGGGCCGAGCTGTGCTGCAAGAGATGGGCTCATGCAGGTACAGAAGCCAGTCCGTCTGCTTTAATGACAGACTCCTGATGAGAATGGTGCTTGCTGCAAGACCCATTAGACTCAACCTAGATCTCCTTTGATGCTGTCCCCCACGATTTCTTGCCATGAGACCTCAACTAAGCCTGTGTAAGGACCTTTCCCTTATCAATTAATCATAGTCGAGGTCCCATCTAAGCATAATTAAGGAGAAACCACATCATCACATGCACACTTTTCACTTACCCCCACTGAAGCAATCATAAAGTATTTATCTGCAAGTTAACTACCTGCTTTACTTTCTCTCCCTCTTTCCTTCTCACACACACCCTTTTGAGTTGTTAAGTATTCTCTGTTGCCAGTAGCAAGAAATAAAGCTAAAAGCTCGAAAGGCTGAGACTGAGCAAGGGCGAAATGCAAGAGAAGACAAAGACAGAGATTGTGTTCAAGAAGACTGCACAATCCTCCTCCTCCTCTAAATGATTCAAACGCCTGTGGCTATAGCCACAGGGGACTTGTCATGTTCAGTGCCACACAGAAGAGACACTTTTTGACTCTGAGGCCCAGACTGCCACTGAAAATCTGTTCCACCAACCTCAAGTTCCTGGCTCTTATCGACCAGTTGCTCATGCAGAGCTGTCAGCTCCCTCTTCATTAAGGCACACTCCTCGTCCACTGCCGTCCTCCTCTGCACCAAGCTGTTAATCTCCTGCTGCTGCCCAGCCACTTTCTGTGTGTCAATGACAAAAAAAAAAAAAACAAGAGCAACAGAGAGGAAAAAGACAGAGAGGAAGAGACACAGAAAAAGACAGTTACATCACACATTGAGTCTTGATAACATGAAATAAAAACAGGGTTTAGTTTCCTGACCAAGGTGTGAATAACAAAGAGGGCAAACTTTTTTCCCCTTGGGACTGTTGCAACAATAATCAGGATGCAAGTACCAGCTAATTTCATGACAAATTGTTAAGCAGATTATTTTCTTGATTAACTGATCAATTGTTAGATCTACAAAGTGTCAGAAAACAAATATTACAATCTGATACTCCTTTTAATTCTATAGTGAATGAAAACATATTAAAGCTTCTTGCAAGGTTCAGCCCAGATGTCAGCAGAAAGGATGCGATGACTTTTAGTGGCCAGCCACTTTTGATGCCAGTATATGTTCACCCTTTGTCTTAGTGGCATTAGTAGGAGGAGGCTCGGCTCTTAACACTGCAGCAGCTGGGGGTTGGCATTGGCTGGTAATCCTCAGCCTTCTGTGGGTACAGCCTCCTCTCAAATAACACTGTGCTTTGGTATACAATTAATTGCCATGTTGAGGGAAATCACTCAGATATATTGAAATAGTGGATTTAGTATACTAAATCCACTATTGCTAGTGTACTCTTAGTTTGACATACTAAGAACAGAGGAGCTTTAATAGAGATTTATACTTGAGAACAAAATAAATGTAAATGTTAATAATGAGGTAGGCAAGAAAAACTTTAACCCCAGTAGTGCTCTATTGACACAACAGAAGAAAGGGTGGGGGGGTACTGCCAAATTAAGAGGTCTAGGGCAGAAAGATTAGCATTTGAAAATTCCCAGTGCAGGTTAAAAAAAAG